GTAATCCATTATGCCTCCTTAAGTTTTCTATTTTCTTTATTTCCAATATCTTTATATCAATGGTGCACTCTTAAGGGGTATTAAATAATTAAGCCACTTCTATATTTTTTTAGTTAGTGTTTCAGAAAACAACAGCAATGCTATGCTGGTGCTGCTTACACTCAGTACCATCGTATCTAATCTTAAAAATCATTCTATCTCCAACAAATTTACTAGAAGGTGGTCATACCCTCTTAGAGAAGGAAATCCTCAATTTGCTTGAAAAAATCCACACTGTGAGATCTATACACTGGAGTGCTCTTCATATATTTCAAGGATGGGAAGCATGTGGTCCTCCAGATGTTACTGAACTACAGCTCCACCATCCTTCACTGTTGGCTTTACTGATGTGTGTTAACAGTCCAACAACATAGCAACATTTCAACAACATTCCCCACATAGTTATACACAATAGTACATACACAGATACGTACCTTGACTTTAACTAGTCTTTTGGCTGTCTTGATCTTGGCCTCACAGAAGGCCCCTCTATATTTTGCACTCACATCAGTGCCCACTGTCAAATATGGAGGCTCATCAAGGGCCTAGAATAGGAGAAAAAACAAAGAAGGAAAACATTTATTTTATTAACTCCACTGGATATATTTGCACACAAGAATGTACACATACAGCCAATCTTTTAAAATGAGGTAGTATCACATTTGTAAAAATGAAGCAACTAATATTATCTTAAATATGAAAACCTGTTCCTGTTTTTAGATTACTCATAATGAAATTAACAGATTTTAAACATTCACAAAATCAATTTTTAGATCACCCATAATGAAATCTAAGATTTTAAAACTATGTCTCATGTAAACACCTTTGAAAGAAAGGGTTCACATTATTCTAAATAAAAATTTGACCTCAAGAATATTCATTTATTCAGTTTTTCAGCCATTATTCAATGCTCATCATTTGTCATGTATATCATCCAGCACTAAGCAACTGTTATTGGGTAACTATACCATTAGCATTCCTTTGTGCTGGATGATTTGTTTTATTTGTATGATTCTCTGTATCCAAGAAATTCATTGCAAATGATGAAATCCTCAGATGGATTCCCAGCTGTGCTTTAGAGTCTGGCTATACATTTCATTTATCACATCATAAGTAACAGCATGTGAGAACATATCAGAATCCATTTGCAGTCTCTGTTTCTGAGAAGACACCTCATATCTACAGTAAGACTTTGCAGAAGCTACTGGTATAGGATAATACTTTAAAGAACACAAGTCCCTGAGAATCAAAAGGATGAAATAATTCTCCAAAGGCCCTTTCATTTGAAGAACCAGTGAACTATGCTGCTGAGGTCCTCTCCTAGCCCCTGACCCAAGTGAGTGTGATATATACCAGACTAAAGGTATGCTTAATCAGCAATGAAACTCCTGATCTTATGCTTATGAAATTCCCTCTGCAGTTTTACTCGGGAAAAGAGGACAATAAGTGCAGCCCCTAAATCAGGACTCAGCCAAGAACCAGAAAGCTATGAAGCAGCCTGAT